AAGATAGTCCCAATAGTCATAGGCGTTTTGGGGGCAATCCCAAGAGCACCCTTTGAAGACCATTGGCATTGACAAAATCACCATCAGCCCGTTGCAAAAGGCAGCTTGACTTGGAACAGCTCCCATCCTGCGATGATACCTCGAACGCCACCAGACCATCACATCTGTCTATCCCGGGTCCTTGGGAAGGGCTCAGTAGGGGGATAAAAATGCCAAACCCAGTCTACCCATCTGACCAACTGTGCGACCAACCATAACGATAACAATAAAAAGCTAAAGGATGTAAAACAAAGGACATATCTCAAAGGAATCTAAAAGGAGGGTAGAAGCATTAGATGGGTGTAGGGGGGCAAAAGGTTAGCACGTGGCAGACTATATCAAATTGCAGAGCACGCTAGTATGACCAACTAGATGCTCATCAAGACTAGTTTATGGCACAGGTCATCCATCATCTGACGAATTTTAACCACTCCGAAATCCTGACCTCTGACTCAAGACAGGGCAGGATGATACCGCGGTGATGTCAGGGAGCACAGGAAGGGCTAGCACGCGACAAGCATCATCAACCACAACGTGTGAAGGAAAGCTGCAAGGAGCAGCGATGGCCGCCCACTCAGACACCCTTTTTCTGCAGTGGCCGGGAGGCTGCCCCCTGCCCCCCCCACCCCATGGAGGGAGCGAGAAAGCACTCGGAGACTTTTAATTCCTCCTTGCAGCACCCACAGGGATACACCTTGGCTGCCCTGCCCAGTTCTCATCGCCACGCGCTGCCTTTCTGATATTACGTCCCCCAAAGCCTTGCAGGGGTGGGACCAGGAAGACAAGCCCCTTTCCAAGGGGGCGAGCATGGGCAAAGGATGCGCTACACTGCGGCCATTCAAATGGACCATCCAGCTTGACCGGTGAGCAGAAGAGCCTCCCTCCCACCCCAGCACAAAACCCAAGCATTTGGACTCCAGACAAGGTCGGTGTCGAGCCCCAGCAAACCCTCTCTTAGTCAGATCACTGAGGCCAAGAACAACGGGAAACCGTTCCCAGCCGGGCCAAAGCTCTATTTCTGCCAGGCGGGAGAAAGAGGGTGTTTTTTTTTTTTTTTTTTTGGCGCCCCTGGGCAAAACCAACCTGTGTCACCCTGGCGGTTAACCCACACCTTTGGGGGCGTGACACCCGCACAGAAATCAGCACCGGCCATCTGGCTAATCAAAGGTTAACGGAACAGGAAGCTTGGCCTGGATTCAAGCCGTGCATTGAAATCGCAGGAAAGGTGCAGCAAACAATTGGACAGCTGTCCGGAGGAGGGACGCACCTCGGCCACAGGCAGATGTCTTCCCTCCAGCTGCAGCCGAGTGACAAATTCTTTTATGGGTGCCCCTTTTCAAGCCGCTCTAGAGCTGTTGGGTTTTCCTTTGTTTTCCTTGCAGCTGCTGAGGACAATGGCGGCTCCTTTGTGTTTGCTCGCCAGATCATCGGGTTTGTTTTAATATAGACACATCTCTCTGTTCTGTTTGAGAAAGAAGTCTACAAAAAATACTCGCCACCACAAACATCCTCGTGGTTTATCTTCACATTATGACCCCTGGGGGGTCATCTGCAGGAATGGAGAAAGTCCTTGGGCCTGAAAGGTGGAAATTCCCATTTGAATGAGAAAGCCAATGCACCAGTGGAGCAGTGCTCAGATCACTAGCTCAAGAGTCTGAAAGGGAGGGGCAGTCAATTTTCTGGGGGACGAGAACCATTTCTTTAGGTTGGTCCTACATGACAGAAGGGGTGGCCAAGGTGTCATGATGCCATCACACTGCGTGGATCTATTTTGCCCATTGAAGCCTCCCCCTTCCCCAAAGAGAGAAATCAACTGGTTTGGGGGGGGGGGCTGTTTGTAAAGGGTGACAGGGGGACCTTATGCTTCTGCTAGGCTTAAATCCCCATAAGATTAAAGCTCCTTCTAGCCAGGGAGCATCAGCTGGGTTGCGGGCTGGGTGGTCCTGCCTACAGATAGATGTCATCGCCTTTCAGTTTCAAAACCAGCCAAATGCTCTCCAGAGAGGATGGACTCCAACTTCCATTATCCCTGGCGAGGCCATTTGCAAAATCCCAGGTTGTGTAGAGGAATGGGGCTTTGGCCTTGAGAAGGAAGAGGGGGACAGAAAATGGCTGCTCAGTCTTGGGAAAGGAAAAAGGATGAGAAAGAGACTCGGACCAGCCTTGCCTTGACCTTGAGGTCCTTCAAAAGGGGCAGTGAAGCTTTGAGACAGACCTTTAAGATTCCATTAACAGACCTGACCACAAGAATATTCCTGGAATCCCTGCGGGGTCTGCTCCTTGGCTTGGCCTACCTCGAAGAGC